CTATGAATTGGCATTTTGTGGTTTGTTTCATTACTGATTTACTAATAGCAAAATATGTCCTTGTTAATAGTTGGTCAAAAACAACCCTTATTTTCCTTTATTATTTGCTTCTAAAAGATGTGTTGCCTTAGTAATTTAATATGAATTGAGCCAAAAATGTACACATTGAGATGCATTTTCAATTTTATTATAAAATTGAATGAGAAAATTCTATTTTATATGATGCCAACTCAATTTACAAAAAGCTCTTCTGGAAAATAAGCATTCCATGAAATAATTAATACTTATACAATACATTCACTGGATTTAAAATTTTACCTACTTTTCAATTGTAATGTAATATTTACAATAAAATACTGGTAGCCAAAATCTGTCTCTTCTATTGACTGTGTTGCTTTACATGCAGATGCGTTACTACTTTTTAGACATCTCCTTCTGGATCATGATCGTAGACCTTAGAAGTATTCCACATCATAAAATGAATAACATCAAAACTGATGGCCTCACCTCTGCCATTGTTTCATGCTGCATTCTACCCATCCCAACTCCCCACCATATAACTGTTCAGTCACACACACACACACACACACACACACACACACACACACACACACAGAGAGAGAGAGAGAGAGAGAGAGAGAGAGGTTTCTTAGTCTCTGACAACTTACAAAATTACCTCAGATAATAAGCATGTTTTTAAATTTGTGAGCACATACCTCTTCTCCATTCTTGATCTCTGGATGATTAACTGAATTAGACTGTAATCATAACTGCCTGAACTGTGATATTTCTAGCTATCTCACAAAGCAGCCTGGGCTAAGTGGAGTTGGATGACATTACTGGATAATCATCTCTCAATGCTCTTTTCTAGGAAGAGAATATTTGGAAAGGGTGTTAAGCCAGAAATATTAATCTGGAAATGATAGGAGCAGCTCCTTTTCCTTTAAGGGAGCTGGTTAATAGGGATTCTAGCCAAAATTTTCTCAGACACTTTCAAACACACTAAAGGAGTTAACTTTGTATTCCCCAATGATTTTTCTTGAAAGAGTTCATTTCCCTTAATCACACCTCACCTCCCAAACCTCTGCCTGTTTTGAAAAAGATATTCAAAAGCTAACCAGTAGTGTATAAGAAGTGCCTGAGCTCCCTCTTGTGGGTCTTGGTAGTCATTCATGAAACTTGAAGTTCCCACAACTGGAAGTCAAGGTGAGAAGTTGTAATTAAGTCCTTGCCTCCAAGAGAAGGCGTGATGTCTTTCTTGGCCCATTTCACCAACTAACAATTCCTATTTTAAGCTATGCTTATTTGCACCAGCTACTTCTCTGACTCTTCATATTGATAGAAGCATTATTACGCATTAAAAATAAAAGTTCTATTGAAGGTTTATTTACATAGCTTCAACATTAGTAATTCAATTGCAACAATAAATGCCTGCCATTTGTTTTACTAAATTTACATTTTATAAAGTATATTTTGTATAACACTATTTCATTTAAATTACACAATAACTCTGAAAATGTGGTATTATCATTCTCAGTTTCAGGTTTGGAGTTAGCAGGAAACAAAAATCAACCTGCATCTTCTGGTACCAAATTCGACATTCTTTCCAACCCACCAAACACTTTCCCTTCCACATTCTCAGTCTTGTAGTTCCTCCCCCTAGGGTGAGATTCTTTCTTAAGTTTTAAAGTATTGGATCACTGTCCTAATGTCTCATTTTTCAAAACTTATAGGCCACACGAATGTTCATTGCAGCACTGTTTACAATAGCAAAGACCTGGAACCAATCCAAATGCCCATCGATGATAGACTGGACAGGGAAAATGTGGCACATATACACCATGGAATATTATACAGCCATAAAAAACGATGAGTTCGTGTCCTTTGTAGGGACATGGATGAAACTGGAAACCATCATTCTCAGCAAACTGACAGAAGAGCAGAAAATCAAACACCGCATGTTCTCACTCACAGGCGGGTGTTGAACAATGAGAACACATGGACACAGGGACGGGAGCACTACACACTGGGGTCTGTTGGGGGGAAATAGAGGAGGGACAGCGGGGGTGGGGAGTTGGGGAGAGATAACATGGGGAGAAACGCCAGATATAGGTGACGGGGAGGAAGGCAGCAAATCACACTGCCACGTGTGTACCTATGCAACAATCTTGCATGTTCTTCATATGTACCCCAAAACCTAAAATGCAATAAATTTTTTTTAAAAAAACTTATATGCCAGATATAATATAGCAAAACTTCTTTAAAAACCTGGCTTAGAAGGCAGACGTTTTTAGTTCTTAAAAGTACAACAGTTAAAACTAGTATCACTCTCTAAAGTGAAAATATTTTTAAACAACAATTTAAGATAATTTTGATAAGTGTGGTACCACATTTGGGAACATGTTTGAAAACAGTCTCTCAAAAATTGGAAACTTGGGGTTTTCACTCCTATCCTCCTTTTCGTTCAATTATGTAAAAGAAACTACCAGATTTTCAGGAAATTAGGTTAAAATCTCATTTATGCAAACAAGGTCATTGACTGAATCTTGATCAAATGATAAATGATACCTGTTACACACCAGGAAATGCATTGCAAGGCTCATTATAGAGGGCTGGGTGACTAAGTGACATTTTACTCATCCCTGATTCCCCAGTCCAATTGATGTATTCCTACAACTAGAAGCCATTACTGAATCTGAAAAGGTTATAGGTTATCTGACCTCTCTGAGACTTTGTTTACTTGTTTGTAAATTAAGGTGAGTGTAGAACTTACCTTATAGGGCTATAGTAAGGATTGAATGACACAATGTATGAAAAGTACTTAACAGTATCTGACATAAATTAAGAGATGAATAAATGTTATTCTCAATAGTACTATCAATGTTATTAATCCTAGACCTCCACAGATGCCTCAATTTTTGCTGTTTGTGTCCCATTCATGATATCTAAACTTCTTGCCTAATTTTTCACCTCTCCTGGTACACATCTATTTGTCCTGGCCTCTTATTCTTTGTTCTTTCTCTGTTACCGTTTGTCATACACTGTGGCCCTTAATAATGATGACTCATAGTACCTCGCTGAGCTTCCCTGCCAAGCTGACTTCGATTGCCTTAGTCACTGGCCCTGCCACATCCTTCCTGGTGTAGAAGAAACTTCTAATCCCGACTCTACATAGACAAACATACATTGCTGCTTCAACCTTTTTGTCTTGTATAAAATCAAGACAAGGATATGGGTACCAACTCTTGAATTATAGGTCTCTTTTGATAAACGACCTTTTCCCATACTTTTCTAATATTAGCCATCCAATTTGCAAGTCAAATTAACAGAAACTCAACAAGACAAGATGTCATTTAGTCATTCATTCACTCATTATTTATCTATTTAGGCGCACTGAAGACGAAAAAGCCCACTGCAACCAGAGTAAAGATTACTCCCCCACTCCAACTACTTTCTTCCTTCTTATCTCCACACGTATGACTCAAAAGAGTACAAACATGTAGAGGAGTGATACATGTAAAGTATTAGAACACTCATGGGGTATTGAAAATCACAAAAATATAAGAGAATGCCATTAACTTGCCTGATACAAAAGAAAAGATAAAACCCCAGGAAAAGGGAACATAAAGCAGGAACTTTAGAATTACTAAAATAATTAATATGAGCTGAGATCCAGGAAAATGGGTGTAGGTGGTATGCGAAACAAAGAGAAGGCATTTCTGCATTATAAACATTCTTTTAGGGATCACGCAGATGTTTGGGCAGTCAGGTCCCACACTCTAGTAGTGAATAGAAAAGAATTCACTAGATTAAAACAAACATTGATGACATTTTTCATGATATTCCCCATTCCATTCTGGTTTGAAGTTATTCACCAGGAATATTGAATAAAGAGCTGCTTAAACATGGTCTCAAAGATATGTGCACACACATATTCTTTGTAGCATTTTCTACAGTAGTCAACAGATGCAAACCAATGTCCATCAACAAATAAATGGATAAAGAAAATATGGTATATACATACAACTGAATATTATTGGCCTTAAAAAAGAAGGAAATCCTATTACATACTATGACATAGGTGAACCTTGAGGACATTAGGTAAATGAAATAGACCAGTCATAGAAGCTAGATGCTGTATGATTCCATTTATATGGGCTATTTAAAGGAATCCAGTTCATGGAAACTAAAAGTAGAATAGTAGTTTCCAGGAACTAGAGGGGAGAGAAAAATAGGGAGTTGTTCATTGGGTTCAGAGGTGCAGTTTTATAAGATAAAAAGTTCTGGAGATCTGTTGCAAAACAATGTGAAGATACTTAACACCGCTGAACTGCACACTTAAAATGGTGAAGATGCACACACACATGCATATGTTCTATTGGCTGAGAGGAGTAAATCCACTAAAGAGCCTCCACAACTACTCCAAGCAATAGCAATCTATCGTGACCCTTTAAGGTGGATGATGTAGTGGCTAGGGAATCCACCCATGGGGATAACTCAGCTGGAAGAAATAAAGGACAATCTCCCCTTTCCCCCTCCATAGAGAAGAACATATAGGTACACCTTACAGACCAAAGACAGCAAGCCTGCTGTCATGTCACAAGAATTAAAAGCAAATTCTATATAAGATTGCATTCTCATTCGCTGTGGTAACATGTGAAGTTGGCTTGTAAACGACAGAGAGTATTCCTATCATATTAATCACGGTCCAAGTTCCATTTTTTTCAGTATGCCTAACAAAAAGTCTTTAGCTACCCATCCTCCAAAGTCTCAGTGCCTCCCCCACACCCCACCGCACATACACATGTTATCCTAAAACATCTCAGGATTCTCTTAAATAAAATTCTATTTTACCATTGTGATTACACTTCTGATAATTTTATAACTTTTGGACATTTAATCTATATAATGGCTGTGTTCATTTTTGTTAATGTTCTTGCTATTTTTTCTAACGTCATACATGCCTATATATATTATGAGACATATCCAACTTGCACAAACTTTTGTGTTTCTTTTTTAGAAAAGACAGCAGGCATGAATGTAACTCATTACCAGTATATATCACAGGCTGAAATATTTGAAAATGGAAAAGTTGTTTTATAAATTTCTACTAGTTAAATTTTTCTGCCTTTCTAAAATCTCAACTATAGACACTGGTATTTTCTAACTCTCTTTTGAGACAAATTTCATGTTAGGATTAATAGCCTCATAGCAGATGGCAGCTTCACAAATTCTTACAGCCAAGTAGCAGGCACTCTGCTAAGCACTTTACAAACATTATCTTTTTTATTCCTCACAGTAAGCCTGTGAGAAAGATATTATCATTATTAACCCTAATTTATGAATAAGAAAATTGAGATTAGAAAGATTAGATTACCAATAATCTGGTTTCTCTTTAGATTGTATAAATCTTTCACCTTTTACTAAATAGATTACCCAAAGTTACACAATAAGTAGAAGAGCAAAGACTGTAACTCATTGACCATAAACTTTCTGCTTAGTCCAGACTCTTGCAGAAAACTCGGGTTTAATTTGTTATTCATTTCACTAAACAAGACTAAACTTTCTCAGTATATTTCAAAATGTCCTGGTACATTCATCATTTTTTGAGTCATTGCTTTATTCATTCAAAAAGCATTGTTCTAGGTACTAGGTACAGCTATCAACACACATCCTACTCTCATGGAACTCATGGTCTAGCCAATATTGAAGGGGCTCTACTATCTGCACTAATGAGAAGAATTCTCACAGACAAACAGGGCTTTTTGTCTTTCACAGTAGGATCAGAGAGCAGGTGCAAGACAGAAGGTTTCATGTTGCGTGCTATAGAAAAAAGCAATCACTCCTGATGAAGAATGGTGTTTCCTCTTTTCTATTCATATCAAAGTTTATAGATACAACTTACCTAAGTTACATGAATGTTTACAAATATGTCCTATGATATAGATTTAGTCATGTACAAGTGTGACTTTTTTTTTAAAGAAGCATATATTCTGACTCTTCACATATCTTCTTTAGCTATGATTAAAATCTTAAAGATCAATATACTAGGAGTCTAGTTGCTACTCTTCCCCATAAATTCTTTGCTTTCATTTGCCCATTTATGAGCTCAAAGAAGTTCCTTATTCAACAAATGGGCTTTCACAAAACATGCAATGATAAAAGACAAAGCCAATATCTTGACAAGGTTACAGTCTCCAAGTGAAACACCCTGAAGGGGAACCACTCATAAGTTCACAAGACTTAAAACTTCAGAATCGCCAACTCATCAACTTTCATGCCCCATTAAATACAGACTCAAAAATCCTGGATTTACCCTTGTTTTATTTAATAAGGGTTGATTAGCTTTGCAATTAAGCCATATAGTTCTTAGGCTTTGCTCTGAAAGAATACCCATCTACTTACTGCCACTTAAAAAGTCTTACTTTCTTTATAATAGCCTTTTCGGTTAGTTTCAATTGGGAAGAACAGACAATATCTCACAGCACCATTTAACACAAACTCAGTCTACAAGTACACTAAGGAATAAGCAATCGTCTCAGCTTGTAGTTAATGAATCAAAGTTTAAGACGACAAATTGGCTCGCTGAGGCAAAATAGTTAATTAACTTTTAGTCAGAAATATTCATCTTGCTCTCCTGGCATAAACAAGTCTCATAAACTTTGTTTACTTACTCAAGTGTTTTTCTTCTCTTCTGCATCCCTAGGCATCATTCAGAGTTCTTAATATATCATGTCAGACTATCTTCATAATTTTCATCCAATTTTTTAACTTTTCAGCCTCTAAGGAAAAGAAAATACATCTCCTCATTAATCTGGGTTCTATAAACAGTGGGGTACACATTTTTTTAAAAAAAGAAAAAAGTAAACCTCCAACATTAAATTCTGTAGTCTCCATGACTTCCCAGGCTAATTGAATCAGACTTTCGTGTTTCTTAAACACATTAATTTCAGATGTTCAGTTAACTCAATTTGTTTAGCCTGTCAGGTAAGACTGCAGACTGATGTAACAGTGGCTGGCGTGTCCAATTAGCAAAGAGGTTTAATGGCAACCACTCCAGACCCTCTTGCCTCTGATACTTTACAGATGTAACATTTCCTTAAAACAAAATTATAAATATTAGCTAATAAGAGAGCTATGTCAATGGTTTTGATGAATACATATCTGAATAGCAATTACATTATATACTCCCTAGCCAATTTTCCATAGTGGCCTTTTGCTAATTTTTCCCCCAATTTTCATGTTTCTTCTAGAGAAAATATTCATACATTGACTGGCAACATCTATTTGGTATCCTCTGTCACTGACTGTGTTTTCTAAAGGAAGACTGTCTGCTACAGTGAATGCTTACATTTAACCACTACTGACAATAAATGCCACTTAGATTTTGTTCTTTGCAGTGTTGCCACAAAGTTTACATTTTTCCTAGCTCTGTGCCAGTTTTCTTAAACTTCAAGTCATCATCATTTTATGAGTTGCTTTTTCCAAAAGCAAATTTTAGGTTCATAAATTAAGTGTTGGACCAGAAATGGTGCTTATTTTTGAAATGACTCATATTCGTGTTTGCATGAAAAGTCTGTTTAATGCCTTCCTACATACATTAAGAGACAAACATAGTGTGCTAGAGAAAGCAACCCTCAACTAAAAAATAAATTATGCTCCCACAAAATTTATTTGTATGTTGTCATATTTTCCTATAAGTAAAACATATTTTAACTTATATACATATTTGACTTATGTGAGTTAAACATACTTTCCCATAAAACCAATCCGAAATAAGATTGATATTATTTAAGTCAACAAACATTTATCTGACTCCTACAATGCACCAGGTGAAGTTCTAAGAGCCAGGAGTACTCAGATGAATAAGACAGGGTGCTGTCCTCAAGGATTTACAAAATAACAAGACAGAATTTATGTTTATGGGAAAGGTATTCTATGCTTTTCCTTGGGAGTCTAAGCATGTATTTTTTTTTTTCACTCTACTAATGGATACTCATATATGTCTACCTACAACCTTCCTAACACCTGGAACAAAGGCTCTCCAATGTAATATGATAAGTACATGAGGTGTTAAGTGAAACAAAAAAGGCACTCGCCCAAGATGGGAGAAAATGGGGGGAACATGATTGGATAGAAAGCTTTTCTGAAGAAGATGATGGATCAGTTGAGTCATGAGGGACGGGTGAAATTAATTATACCACTGAGTCTCAAAAAATGTGATCTTCAGACTATCAACATGACCTAAGAACTTGTTAGAAATATGAATTAGTAGGTATAACAAGATAAAAGAGTAGAAAGCTACAGCAGCGGCCCCCCAAACAAGGATATCAAGTTAACAACTATCTACCCAGGAAAATACCTTCATAAGAACCAAAAATCAGGTGAGCACTCACAGTACCTGCTTTCAACTTCACATCTCAGAAAGAGGCAAGGAAGAGATAGTAAAAACAGTCCTGAATTGGATGCCACCCCTCTCCCACCACAGACAGCACAGCATGGTGCAAAGAGCATCTCTGGGCACTGGAGGAGAGAGAATTTAGAAACTGTGAGGCACTGAACTCAGTTCTCTCTTAGAACAGAAAGGAAAAGCAAATCAAATTCAGCAGATGTCCACACGCAGATGGAGCCTTTAAACTACCCCTTGCCAGCGGAGAATTGCTGAACCCAGCAGCCCAAACTTGAGTGCCCACAAACTTCCCCACTAAGGGGCAAAAAGCCTTTTGTCTCTAAGTAAGCTTGAAAGGTAGTCTAGGCTACAAGGACAGCAACTTGTAGGTGGGTCCTAGGGCTGAACCAGGCCCAGAGACAATGAACTGAGGGGACATGTGACATACTGAGACACCAGCTGGGACAGCCAAGAGAGTGCTGGCATCATCTCTCCCCAGTTCCCAGATTGAACAGCCTATGGGTCCAAAAGAGGCCCTTTTCTTCTATTTACGGAGAAGAGAGGAAACAAAAGGAAAAACTTTGCCTTGCATCTGTATTACCAACTCAGCCACAGCAGGATAGGACACTGGTCAGAGTCATGGGATCTCTGTACTAGACCCTAGCTCCCAGACAATACCTTGGGGCAGAAGGGAAGTGACTGTCTTGAAGGAAATGACCCAGTTATGGAAGCATTCATCACCTGCTAACTGAAGAGCCCTTGAGACCTGAATAACAAGCAGCAATACCCAGATACAACATCAAAGGTCTTGGTGAGCCTGAGACTTGCTGGTTTCAGATGAGACTCAGCACATTACCAGCTGTGGTGGCAATAGGGAAAACTTCCTTTCCTTATGCTTGAGAAAACCAGAGGGAAATGTAAAGGGGACTTTGTCTTGCACCTTAGGTACTAACATGGCCACTAATGGGGTAGAACACCAAGGGGACTCTAAGTGCACCCAATTTCAGGACTTCATTCTCTGATGATATTTCTGGACCTTCCCCGTGCCAGAAAAAAGCCCACTTCCCTGAAGGGTGAGTCCTAGGTCAGACAGCATTCACCACTAGCTGACTTAAGAGACCTTGGGCATTAAGGGAAAAATGGTGGTAGTCTAGTAGTATCCCTCAGGGCCAGGGGTGATGTTGGCTATGAGGTAAGGCCTTTATGCCTTTGGAAAGGCAAGTGAATAGTGGGAAGAACAGCATCTTATAGTTTGAGTACCAACTCAGCTGCAATACAAGGAATACCAGGTAGACCTCTAAGGTTTTTGACTCTAGTCCCTGACTAACAGATGACACTTCAGGACCCACCCAGGGTCTAGGGGAACTCACTGACCTGAAGGGAAGGACACAGGCCTGGCTGGCTTTGCCACTGCCTGATTTTAGAACCCCAGGGCCTTCAGTAGAGATAGGTAGGAACCAGGGAGTGGTTACAGCAGGCCTTGGGTGAGACCCACTGCTGTGGTGGCTTCAGCACATTATGACCCAGTGTAATCATAATGATGGTGGTTACAGAGGTACTTGTGTCACTCCATCTCTGCTCCAGGTGTCTTAAAACAGAGTGTGCGTCTCTGTATGTTTAGGAGAAAGCAAGGGAAGAGAACAAGAATCTCTGCTTGGTAATCTAGAGAATTATCCTGGATCTTGTTCAAGACCATCAAGGTGGTACACCTATGAGTCTGCAAGAACTACAGTGTTACTGGGCTTGAGGTGCCCCCTAATGCATATACGGCTTAGATCACAACACCCAATTCCTTTCAAATATCTGGAAAGCCTTCCCAAGAAGGATGGCTACATATAAGCTCAGACAGTGAAGGCTATAATAAGTACCTAACTCTTCAGTGCCCAGACACCCAAAAACGTCTACTAGCATCAACACCATCCAGCAAAACATGACCTCACCAAATGAACTTAATTAGGCACCAGAGATCAGTCCTAGAGAAACAGAGATATGTGACCTTTCAGAAAGAAAATTCAAAACAGCAGCATTGAGGAAACTCGAAGAAATTCAAGACAACACAGAGAGGAAGTTCATATTTCTATTAGATAAAGTTAACAAAGAGACTGAAATAATTAAAAGGAATCAAGAAGAAATTCTGGAGCTGAAAATGTAACTGGCACACTGAGGGATGCATCGGTGTCCTTTAATAGCAAAATTCATCAAACAAAAGAATGAATTAGTAAGCTTGAAAACAGACTATTTATAAATACACAGTCAGAGGAGACAAAAGAAGAAAGAATAAAAAACAATGAAGCAAGTCTACAGGATCTAGAGAATAGCCTCAAAAGGGCAAATCTAAGAGTTATTGACCTTAAAGCGGAGGTAGAGAAAAGAACTAGAGTAGAAAGTTTATTTGAAGGAATAAAAATACAGGACTTCCAAAATCTAGAGAAAGATATCCATATCCAGGTACAAAAAGGTTATAGAACACCAAGCAGATTTAGCCCAAAGAAGACTATCTCAGGGTATTTAATAATCTAAACCCCAAAAGTTAAGAATAAAGAAATGATTCTAAAAGCAGCAAGAGAAAAGAAACAAATAACATAAACTAGGGCCTCACTATGTCTAGCAGTAGACACTTCAGAGGAAACGGTACAGGGCAGGAGAGAGTGGCATGACATATTTAAAGTGCTGAATAAAAAAAAAAAGCCTTTTAACTCAGAATTCAGTGAAAATATGTTTCAAATGTAAAGGAGAAATAAGACTTTCCCAGACAAAAGTTGGGGGATTTCATCAATACCAGACCCATTCTACAAGAAATATTAAAGGAAATACTTACATCAAAAAGAAATGATAATTAATGAGGGATAAATTATTCCTCATCAAGGTACAAAACTCACTGGTAATAGTAAGTACACAGAAAGATACAGAATATTATTACTGTAACTGTGGTGTGTAAATATCTCTTATCCTATGTAGAAAGACTAAACAATAAACAAATTAAAAGTAATAACTACAACAACTTTTTGAGACATAGTACAATAAGATTTAAATAGAAATGAGAAAAATTAAAAAGTAGAAGGATGAAGGTGTAGGGTTTTATCACTTTTCATTTTTCTTGTTTGTTTTTACAAATAGTTATCAGTTAAAAATAAATTATAAGACAATATTTGCAAACCTCATAGTAACCTCAAACCAAAATACAATGGAGACACACAAAAAAGCAAGAAACCATATTGTATTTAAAGAGAAAATCACCTTCCCTAAAAAGAAGACAGGGAGGAAAGAAAAAAAGGAAGAGAAGGCCACAAAATAACCAGAAAACGAATAATAAAAAGGTGGGAGTAAGTCCTACTTATGAATAATAACACTAAATGTAATGGACTGAAGTGTCCAGTAAAAAGACAGACTG